TCGATGTTTGATAAATTTATTGGTTAATATGTAACATTCTGATAAGGATTATCGTTTAACATGGAATGACCCTCTGGTATGGGAGAAAATATTAAATATTTTCTTTACTTGAAGAATTAAATGCATCTGTGAATAGTAAATGTAATATAGAAAATATCTTTATATTCCTGCTGGTGTGGGATGTGGGATGTAGATGAACAATTGAATACCCACATCCACACTGATATCCATAACCACAGTCTAATAATAAAGTGTATTGAATTCTTCATTTTATGTAATTATTCAATTTTATTTTTAATCTGATCAACACAACAACAAAGAAAAATAATGATCATAAATTCTTCTTTTTTCGTTCTCATATATGATTTCTCTGTTTTGATTGACTATGTAAAATAAATACAGTAAAATTCCTCTATTGTGAATATCATCGGGACTATTCAAAAGTGCTCTCTATATTAGTCATAGATAAAGGCTCTTTTTTGCAAAGTAAACTCGTGTTATGAGATCATTCTTTACTTTACATGTACAGCGGTTCACTATCTACAGTAAAGAGGTGTTCACTACTAGAGGCTTGAGTGTAGTTAATTTTCTCATTCAATCATTGAATGTCGATTGTAGTTTTGAAATAATATTTTTGAAGAATAATTTTAGTGTAGAAAGTCATTCTATTTTTGTAATTAAATCTAAACCGAGTTCAGCTTTAGACAAAACAGAAATGATTGAAATTCATTTTGAAAACATCATTCAATGTTTACTTTTATCATTGACAATTTTTTTCATTTGCTAAATCATATTATTGATTAAATCTAACCTATAATAGTATAAAAATAAACCGATTTCCTAACATTTGAAATCGTTCAGACAAAAATAAAACATGTCTATTGATTCATATTGAATGAAACTTAAATCATGCTGTTTATTATGAAATCACAAAGTGCAATAACGATAATTACAGGAATGTGGTTGAGGAAGTAGAAAAACATTGAAAGTTTGACAATTCGTTACTGATATTACAGTACAAGAAGAACAAGTATTTGTTCCGTAATAGAAACAGACAATACTTGTGACTGTAGTAAATACTGTTGGTGGATATTGACCAGCATACCATCCAGTAACAACTGTACCACAATAATTTGGTGGTACAGGCGAATTGGCCATTACTGTTCCTGCTGGTTCTTGAAAACGAATCCATACAGATGTAGCATTAGTGAATGGTGATATATTATCACAATAGTTAATCGATGCTGTATAGCCAATATTTCGTGTTGCATCGGTGTTGGTTGTATAATTTAAACATTGCGGTGGTGTGACAGTCGTATATTGATAATATGTAGCAGGTGAAGATGAACATACGAACGGTGTTGTTGATACTGTATTATTATAAAATAAAGACTTTTTAGTCAAAGACTGCTAACGGTGTATTGTATTTTTCTCCTACAAAAGGTTGCCTTATCAGAAAAACTTGAGAGGATCAAAATTTGCACATTCTCAAAAGTTCACATCGAGCATAAGCATTCTAAATAAATTTATCCTTCTTGAAAAGGAAAATAATATCTTTTTAATTACCACAAAAGATTTGTCTTACAACCGATGGAGTCGACTTCTAATTTTTCCTTTGATTATTTTGAAATTAGAGTTCGCTGCGTCCAAAATTTTCGGATCCGAACCTGACTGAGTTCGGCGCCAGCCCGACGATCTCTAGCGACTAAGCAAATATACTGTTGTACATGTACATTTTGAAAACATAACAAAACAAATATTCAATAGTACGATTTTTATTGTTTGTTTAATTCTTAAAATGAGTACTTAATGAGATGTTTGTGAACTTTGCATAGAAATTTTTATATATAAGGACTTGCGGCAACGTTGTTGATGAAAATCAATATTTTTCTGCCTGATAACGATCTCAATAAGATAAATTTAATTATGAATTTCAATACAGGTATTTTTCTGTTATAAATGCTGATGAAATCAATAGTAAATTGAGTGCTTAAAATGATTTCATTTCTTCGAAATTTAAATTTGTTTTTATTGTTAAAAAAAACTAGAAATCAATACATACTTGTAACCGCAGTTGTGCTTGAATTCGTGGTCGTTGTAATTGTTCCACTTTTACTATTGTTTAATACGAGTGAATAAATCGCAATGATTAATCCCGCCAGCGATATTAAAGTAATAATAATAAAAATGATAATCAATGTTATCAAACATTGACGCGTTTTTATCCTGGCCGAATCTGATGATGTTGTTTCATCGAAGTTATATGATTGTCTAGGATAAGAGCTACTATACATCATTTAAGAAGATATGTTGCAAGTGTTCTTTTTTTTTGAACAATATTCAGTTCATATTAGAAATCTGTAACAAACTGTTTTTCATCCTGTACTCTTAACAATTTTCAAAATTAGTTCGATCAGAAAAACAATAGTTAAATTACTCCTCAATGTATCTAATAAACTATAATCGAAACGTCTTGTTATAAATATTGATCAACGAATTTATTTTCCAGTGAAGATGTTTTGCATACTGAATATATGAGAGTTTGTACAGGGAAGAAAAAAATAATTTCTTTTTTTTTTCTGCTTACATGTATTCTTCTCTAGGTAATCTTTCAAAATCATCGATATCGACATTAACCGTTGAAATAGACATAGGTCGTTGTCTTTGCAGGTTACTTGCCATTCTGTTTTCGTTTCCTGATGATGAAAAATTGTACGGTTAGATTCTACAAAAAAGAATTAAATCGATATTATAAAGTAAAGCTGCAAACATACACACATACTTGTCTTTTTCAAATAAGAATATTTGTACTTTTTTTAAAAAAAAATGTTGTTGGAGAATGAGTAATATTTAAAGTAAGTGTTGTGTCTTCTGATTATGTGTAAGAAGAAGCCTTTATAATCATCTGAATTTCTTTGTTCTGTTTAGAAGTACATAACAGTCGAATAAAGTATTACCTATATTAAGTGAGTGTAAAATGAAGCAAACTAACAAATTTGGATTTATTTGTATATCTGTTTTTCATTTTTCAAGGTTGTATATGCTAATCAATTCTTTATTATGATGCTGAATTGACTGTCGCATTCACCTGTCTATACATACATTAACAACATGCTTAATATTACTATTAATTGAAGAACTCACTAAAAAAAACAACCATGTATGTTTTCTTGTTGAAGCTTAGTAATAAATTTCAATGAGAAATTAATGTTTTAGAAAATTGTTCCTGATTCCAGTGAATATCAATCCTGTTTACATAAGAATATGGTTATTGTATTGATTGTTTAAAAAAATCAATCTGTAGAATAATTTATCTAGAAAATATGAAAAATTTACAAATTTAGCTTGTTTTATTTTGTGTCAATTAGTTTTTATCATACGGTGTCTGTTGAAAGAACAAAACTAGAAAAAAAAATGTGAACATTTTTATGACTTCGAATATGATGTCCTTCAATAGATTTTCTTTTCTAATTTAGGAGTAAAAATATGTAAGTCGATTTTGTTGAAACATTTTCTTGAATAAATAAACTACATACACTATGAGTCTCATCGATAATTTCGATTGTCTGATCGTTCACAATAATGAACAGTACAATAAACAAATGCGGAATGTTTTTATTATTTTAAATAAAACAAAGACAAAAGGAAGAAAAGGAAAATTTTTGAATCATTATTATATTATGGATTAAATACAGCTATCATTAATTTTAAAAACTTGAACAAACATTGAATAAAATTTTGCTTACAATTATTTTGAATTTGCTTTCGATTTTCATTTTAATGATCCTCTTGCAGACGTTGTTTTTAAGGATGATGAAATCTTACACAGTTTATCATGATCTAGGAAATTTCCTTAGTAAAATTATTGATTATATTTGATCTTAAATGACTTTAGTAAGAGACATTCTGTGAAAATTTCCTGCATTGTAATTTTCAAAGTAGAAAAACTTTTGAAATACATTGAAAACTTCATTGACGGACATAGTCACAAACTTCATGAATTTCATTGATTTCGATGATTATTTTAAAACATGCCCAGATTTCAACCGTAGTAATTTTATAAAAACTTTAATGCATTAACCATTTGCCTTGTTTCTGTTGCATTTTTGGTTTTACAGTTATAGGAACCTTGAATTGCTATGACGTTAATACATACAATGCTGGCGTAACTCGATGAAGATTTAGTCACTCTCTCGATGGCTTTGGGCTTCCTCATAAGACTTTTTTCTGTGTAAGCACAGACATTTATTCAAAATATTCTCATGCATATTTTCAATAAACAATAATATAAGGGGGAAAAAACCGATATTCATAATTTTTATATTTAATTAAAAGAAAATTTATTCTAAACGAATATTGTCAATAGCCCAATAGATATTATGTGCTGCACGTTCAACTTGTGTCCATCGAAATCGTACACCACCAATATTTCGTTTTTGACTTATATTTATCATTTCCGAAGGTAATGTTATATTAAAAAATTGTGCATGTTCTTTATTATACATTGTAATTAGACGCCACCATGATATACCTTCATCATATGTCCATTCAAGAGCAACTGTTATATTATTTGTAGTTGTTATACAGTTATCTTCAGTTGTTACTTGAAATGCAAATGATATTGTTCTAATTGAAAAATAACTCAATTTCAGTTTTTCTTTGTTGTTAAATTTAATAAAAATAACAACTTACGTTCCTTGACTAATATTAAGTTCACGAGTTATTGCTTCGACATTACCACATCCACAATCAGCACCAAAATGAAGTGCTTGTCCATTGAAATAATTATTCGTATTATTATTATTTAGGTTTTCACCACAAACATGACGAATTTGTCCATTACCATTTAAACGAATCCAATTATTTAAATTAGGTCCACTAATATCAATAACAGATAAATCATCAAATGTCTCATTAAACCATGTTTGTAATGGTTCTTTACCAATATATTTCTCACAATATGTACCTAATATTTATAAAACAGATATAACAAGAAAAAACAACATACAATATCTTCACTTACCTGAATAACCTATAGAACATTGACAACCAGATACTGTACATAAACCTCGATCATGACAATATTCTGGACATTCACCAACCAATAAACTATTCATTGACCATCGTACACCTTCAGCTTGTGTTCCACTCCAACGAAATTGTGTACCACTAAATAAAACGAAAATCGAATGATTGAAATTTATGTTCTGCAAAAAAAGCTCAGGTATTGAGGTATGAAAAAAAAATGTCAATTCGGCTATCAGGTATAATCTGATGCTCGGAGTATAAGCCAGTAAATAATAAGATTTCAATGTTTCAAAATATTTTTACTTTTTCAAACTGCCAATTTATATAAAAGCATAGGAGTGAAAAATTCGGACTTTTTTTGTGTTACTGTTTATGGAAGAAACTAAATAGTATACTTTTTCATATAAAATAAAAGTTTGAAAAAACTCCTGTGACTGTGAAAGTATCTGTGGAATATCGATCAATTTCGGTTGGGAAAAGTCGTACCCGTGCAAGATACTAATGTCCGCGCAGAGTTAAAACGTGATCGATGTAATCTTAACAATTCGACAACAGCAATAGTTAGTGATCTGCGGGTTTCAGCAATCGAAAGAGGAGAATTCCAAACGCCTTTTTGTCTGATACTATATAAAACAGGATTATTTTAAAACTTACCGTTTTTACGAAAACTTTAAAAAAATGGTATTCCGTTTCTATATTCTTATATCTCAATGTGGAGCTAAACACAATCGCGTATCTATTCAGTCAAATTATATAGAATTCGTTTGATTTTTACCAAATTTTTCTCGAAAAGAAACATAATCTTCATTCATATTTTTGAATGCTTTTAACACAATTTTGTCTTATATAATATCAGACAAAAAAATGTCCGGAGTTCTCCTCTTTGAATTTCTCAAAACCGCAGATCGCTAACAGGTGTTGTTGTCGAGTTATTGAGTTTACATCCATTCCTCTTTAATGCTTACGCAGCCATTAGATTAAAATTATCGTTATATTATATTCGTCCTGTAGAGTACGATAATAGTCGTTCATTTATATGTCTCCCATAATAATTGTTCTCCTCCCGGTATCCAAGGTAACGGGACGATTCATGAAGAAGCAAAACATGAATGGAAGTTAACGAGAGAAAAACAGAACTAAAAAAACAGAACTACTTTCGCTATTTGCTGCATTATTCATGTGTATTTAAAGAACAAATAACGCAAAAATGCTCACAGCTTCACAAGATATCGACAATTTTATTGAACGTCAACGATCTCAACTAAACAAACCACCAACTCGACCATCCATTAATCGACAACCTCCACCTCCACCTCAATCATCAATTCCACCTAATAATGTACAAGATCGACTCGATTTTAAAGTTGCTCGAATTCTCGATGAATCACCACCTCGTATGCAATCTCAACAACCTTATTATCCTCCTCCTCCTCCTCCACCACCACCACAACCATCATTTTCTCATAATTCAATTCCTGAACAACAAGAACATTTCTATTCTCAACAACGTCGTCTATCTGATGGTAATAATGATGCTAATCCAGTAACTTTTTTTAATAAATTTGGGACATATGATGATAAACGTTCTCAATTAAAAGATGATTTAAAACGTGAATATAATGAATATTTACAATCAAAAAACACTATACCAAAAAGTAAATCAACATCACAATTAACTTCAACAAATAAACGTGTACAATTTCAACAGCAACAACAACAACAACAACAACAAAATGGTAAAGTTATTGCACCATGGGAAAAAAATGATAATAAAACAGTAAAAAATAATCAAATAATGAATGATATACCATTAACATTAAATGATAATATAATAAATCGTTCACGACCACCACAAATATCACGTAATTATGATGAACAATATGTTCGAGATCGTGAAGATTATATATCAGAATTACATTCACAAGTTCGAGAATTAGAATTAAGAAAAAAACAACTTGAAATCGGTATATTAATTAATAAATACTTTCTTGAAAATTTTTCTATTCTTTTTTCTTTTTTTTGTCTTACTTATAGAAAGTAGTAGATTATCAGCTGGTGCTACATCAAATATAACTCGTGCACATTACAATGAAGACTTAAATGCATTAAATTCTTTACTTGCAGAACGTTTAGATCAACGTAATGCTGTTGATCTTGAACTTGCTCATATACTTAATCGTCCCCCAATTTCTACTAGTCCAACACGAATTAATCCAAATAATAGACCAAATATAAATATGTCAAATGAACAATATTCACAACAAATATCATCACAAAAATATCAACAAAACAATGGACGTCATATACAATCATATCGTAATGAAAATCGTACAAATTCAAATGAAAATGGTTTTCAAATTGGTCATGAAATTGATAAAGAATCTGAACAAGCAACAAAAAAACGTTATCAACAAGAACTTCAAGCACAAATGCGTGAAACACAAATGCGTAAGGCACAAGAAAAACAAGCTAAAGATGAATATGATCGAAAATTAGAAGAAGATATTCAACGTTATAATTATTTTGGTCGTAGTGGTGGTGGTGCACCAATGCGTGATAAAGATGGAAATGTTGTTGCTAATCTAGCTGATGTTAGAAATCCACCACCACCATCATCCTATCAACAACACCAACAACAACAACAACAACAACAGCAGTATTTACCACCTGATAATAAAGTTTATTCATTAGGTGATGGAATGAGTTCAATGGGAAATGCACCATTTTATATTGGAGAACAACAACAACAACAACAATATTCAGCAGATTCGGTAAATTAAAATTTTACATATATACACATATGGGTTATTTCAGTAGGGAGTTGTGAGACCTTTCGGACTTGAGTCCAGGTCCAGAAAGACGTAGATCCCCAGCTTCCCTACATTTCGAGGAAAACAGAATATACTCAATTAACTTTGATTCTTTACAAAGGTTATTTTTGAGGAATAAGTTCTTTTAGTATAGACATACAGGATGGCCCAAAAGTAAGGAAACACTGAATTCTTTTCAATTTTTTCTTAATAGATCAATAGTCAGACTACATATACCATAGGATAATACTCAAAAAAGTAGCCTATACTCTTAAAGTTTTATTGAAAAATATTCGAACGTCTCTCGTGCATTCCTATATGACTGTCACTAAAGTCTACTTCTGTTCTGATCGAATTCGATTGATTTCTTTCCGTTATGCTTCACCTTTGAATAATTTTCTATGGAAGAAGTCTAAAACAACGTACGAATCAAACAGACAAAAAGATAGATGCAATAAACTTTTGCAAAAGTCATATTAGAGTACAAAAGAAACATTTCGACGTTTTTCAATAAAATCTTGAGGGCACAGGTTAACGTTAGACTGCTTCTCTAAGATTTATCATATAGTATATATGGTCTAAATATGAGATCTAACTATCGATCTATTAAGAAAAACTTGAAATAGAATTCTGTATTTCGTTACCTTGTTCCCTTACATTTGGGCCATTCTGTATCTCTCTAATCATATGAGAAAAATATTCGAAAACTTCCGAATAGACTCTATGCTACGAATAGCACCCAGGATGAAACTTTCAACAAGGCCAAACTGCAAAAAAACTCCTTCTCAAAAACTGATTTTCTAGAGATTCTCTCAAGTTCCGAAGCAATAATTTTTATTGCAATATTGTCTAGATATTCCGGTGAAAGATTTGTTTCGTTTGCAATTGACTCTAGACTTTTCATTCAGTTATAAGAACATTCTTTCGTACTCCGTTGCGTCGCTAACGTTAGTTTTTTTTACTGATAACTTCTTTGAACAACGATTCCTAGATTATCTTAACGTATATGTGACATATAAAAATTAACTCTAGAAAAATTAATTATCCTGAGACACGCTCGTTGTGTAAAAATCATGTCACTAATGAATGATTTTGTTCATATATTGTTTCAATTGATTGATTTCTATAGAATCGTCCTGGTTCACCAAATCATACACGTGGTGCAGTTAGTAATGGAATATTTGGTGCAGCTAAAACTGATGCACAACTCTTACGAGAAGAAAAATATAAACAAGAATTAAAAAGACAAATTGAAGAAAAACGTCAACGAGAAGCTGATGAAATAGCTAAACGTCGAGCTGAAGAAGAACGTGAACTTGCTAAACATTTAGAATGGCAACAACAAATGGACAAACAAACGGCTGACGACGCATTAAGAAAACAAGAAAAAGAAGAACAAGAACGTCTACATCAACAACAATTACAAGAAGAACTTGAACGACAAAAAAAACAAGATGAAATTATTATGAAACGAAGTAAGATTTTTTTCTTTGCGACACAAAAAAAAACATTTCATATAATTGATCATATTTGTCTAGAACCAAAACGACAAGAAAAACCAATAACACCAAAAAGAGATGAAATTCATGATGATGATAATAATAATGATAATATTCATGCTAATGGACGAAATAATTATAATGATCAACAATCAGAACCTATCTATCGAAGTTCATCACCTCCAATACCAACATTAAAGAATAAAGATAAAAAACAAAAATCAACTATAAAAAATGTACGACGTCAACAATCATATGATGATGGTGTTCAACAACAATCACCACCACCATTAACACCTTTAAATAACAATGATGAATTTCTTCAACAACAACCTATCGATGATACTGATGATCAAAGTAGACAAACATATCGAAAACCACCAACACCTCGACAACCAGGTTTGTTAAGAGAGCGTCCTATGAGAAGATCCAAGAAACCGAGGTATTGGTCAAAATAAAAATTTTGATCAATATCTCAGTTTCTTGATTCCATCATGAATGTTCTCTTAAATATTTTTGAAAATCTTTTCAACATTCTATATTTTTTACTTTTACAGATGTGTCATTAGCACGTAAAAAACCATCACGTAAGTTTATATTATGAATAAAATAATTCTAATTGATTATTCATTTTTTTTAGAAACTTATCGTCCACGACCACGTGCAAATTCAAATTCTGGTATGCCAATGCGTACAAATTCGACAACATCTCTTCGATCGGATGGTTCCGATTCTGAAGTTCTTAATCGTCTTGAACATTTAAAACGACAATTAAAAGATAAAGAAGCACGTCTACAAGAACATGTTAATGATCATCAAGCTGAATTAAATTCAACATCTAATAGAGATGAATATCCAAAAACAACTTATCAACCACCAATGCAACGTAAACCAAGTCCACAATTTTTATTTAATGCAGCACGTGTTCATCATCGTGATTCACCAACAACAAATGATCGAATGCGTCGTATGATACAAACAGATGATGATATAGAATTTAAACCAAGTTATTTTCGTGATGATGCGATTTTAATGGGTGGTAGTAATGAAAATCTTCGAAAAAATGATAATGATTATTATTCAGCATCAAAACGTATTGATTCAGCTAATCAAATATTTGCTACAAATATTGAAAAAGAAGCTAATCGAAGACGATATGGTCATGATTCACCAGGTTTTTATGATCGAGATGATCCAACAACAATAGCAAACTATGAATTAAATGTAAGCAAATTAAAAATTATATAATAAATCGATATAGAACTCATTTCTTTCTTTTTGTTGTTTAGAGAATTGCTGAACAGAATGAAGCACGATTAAAAAAATTACGTGATCTTGAAAATGATGATGTATCTTTATTAGATAGTAATGAAGTACTTGAACGTTTTCAACAAAGACAACGTATGCAACGTGGTAGTCAAACGACTTTACAAGATGATGCTTGGCTCAAATAAAAACGATTTGCTTTAATTTGTAAATTTTACAAACAAACGAACAAAAAACAAATAAGAATTTTTTTTTCTTCTTGCAGAAACCTAATTGAACTAAGTTTTTCTTTGTTGTGAAAAAGCTCACTTTAAGCTTAATTGTTGTTCGTCTTCTGAAGAAAATAAAATAAAATTTAATGACAATATATAATATAAAGATTCAAAAGACAATCTTTTAAAACTCAATTTTTCATTTCAATTGAGAACATTATCTAGAAATCGGTACAATATCAAGTCTAGACAAACCAATTGGTTATCAAAGAAAAAGTTATTGAAGATGTCAGCTATCATTCAAGAGTAGATACTTTAGATTTTATCAAATTCAAGTGCAATGTTTTAGTTAACATGAGGCGGAACCTCGCAAAAGAGCGAGTTGACATTGTTGGAGTCTGTGATTATTGTACCGTGTCTTATATGTCTGCGTGCCTTTCAGGAGTTTTAAATCGCCTCCTACAGTATATCTTCATCGGTAAAACACATTAGCCATCAAAAATCTCGCTACTGGGTAAAAACGTACTTAAACGGAAATCTTTCGCTCTCAAATTATATAGATTTTTTTTATCTAGACGAGGATATTTCAGCATTCGATCCTTCAGTAGAAAGCACAATGCTCTCTTTGTGATGGATAAAAATGTCATAGTCATCAGTGGAGAGAAGATCATCTCCAATAATGAAAACGTATCACAGCAGATCAAAGTCTTCTATCCAAAGATAGGCAGTGTCGACTTCGGAGTGGCCGCTCCTGGAGCAGAGCTGGAGCTGAGCTGAGTCGAAGCAGGGCGACTAAATGAATATCTGAAGCTGAAACGGATAAAGGTCAGAGCTGCCCATCTCTGCTCCTATCTGCGACCGAGTAAAGACATGTAGATTTTTATTTGTCAATAAAAGGAAGGATAGTAACGATTCAAAGTAACAGCGAGCCAGAAAAGTATTTTTAAGGAAAGCCTTTTTTAATGTGCAAGAAAAAACAAGTCAGTACTTTTGTTCTAAATCTAATGCATTAGCGCTGATCGATTTCCAGTTAGTAGTACTTGAGAACAGGATGTATTATTAATCCATACCTATATAATACAACACGGTTGTCTGTTTGTCCGTCTGCTACCAGATCAAAGGTCATAGGATAAACACTTCTGGAATTTTCCAGAACTTTCTATGAGGTAATACATGGCTCGGTCCAAGGTCAGTCACGGGTTAAAGGTCAGACATTTCAGGAGCTTTCCAGAACGGTATAAAGTTAGCTAGAATTCTAGAATATTCTGAAATTCTCTGAAACTATCTTGTGAGGTGTACGTATGTGAAGGAGGCACAAGTCAGCATCCATAATTATACTCAACTTCACTCACAGCGCCTAATCCGGAGTGAAGCCGCAGGTTTCTGAATGTGACGAATAAAAGGATTTTTTTTGTAGTATCTATCATACCTTGAATATGTTTCAAAAGGTAATTTAATTGTATGCATATTAAGATAGCCTCCATTAATTAAACTTGTTCGACATGCTAAATCAGCCATATCAATAAGTTTCACCCATTTTAATGATAAATCAGTTCGATATTCAATTATACTTGTTAGATTACGACATTGTAATGTTTTCATATCAGCATTTCCTGTACATTTTGTATTAAACTATTCGAAAAAAAAAAACAAAGATTTTTCGAATATACTATATGAAATTTAAAAAAAGAATCCTTACTTGAAGAACAAGAACATAGAATTTTTGTACAAGAATAGGTACAGTAATAACTGAAAATGAACTTTCATGAAATATTAAAGCTGGTATATTATTATTGCATTGATCAGGTTGAGCAAGTAGAGCACCATCAATTGATTCCCAATTTGAACGTGATGATGATATTGTATAAAAATAATCAGTTAGAAAGTCAATATTAATCGATTTTACTTAAATAAATATTTAAAATAAAAAAAGAAAATAATTAATATTTTTTGAAATTTACTTGATATTATTTTTGAAAGACCCCATGTAAAATTATTACATTTAGAAGATAATGGTTGAAACCATCGAAATTGTCCTATATGATATTTTGTATTAAGATTGTTAAATTCGACTAATAATTCAATAGATGTGTTTAATATTGTTATATTTTTAATTGGTAAATTAAATCGATGAAGAATCGACCATGTTAATGTACCATCTGTCGATATTAATAAATAAATTGAAGTGTTACATGTCTTCGAAATATTTTCTAAATTATATGTCCATTTAATACCACTAAAAAAAACAGAAACAAAAAATAATTAAGTCATAAATCGATTTTTATTTACCGCATTGGCCTTAAATCAATTGGTCGAGTAATAGCCTGTCGATTTATTGTTGTCCATATAATTCTATTGATTTCATGTCGATAAGGTCCTAATTGTAACCAATTCGTAGGATTAAAATCTTTTTCAAATGTTTCACGAAAATCAACCTATGAAATACAGCATTGTTTCTTCTTTCATCTACAGTAAAACTTTTGTAATATGGGCACCATCGTGGGATCAATGTCAATGTTTTTTGAATAACTTTCGATAGGAACAAGGTAGAGACTTATGAATTTCACTATCTAAAGGAAGACATCGAGAGCCCATAAAGTCAGCTCAAGTGTGATTGATCCAGCGTCTGGCCAACCAGGTAATCTTTTGCGGGAGATTTCACAAACGGTATTTTAGAAAACTGCCCAACTTAGGCTGTAATTATTCGACTGAAAAAATCGTTCTCTTTCGATCCATACAAACCAGACGTCTCTAATTTATTCTGTTCAAAAGTTATAAGAGTTTTCCAAAGATACCTATTTCAACCTAATGACAATAGAACACTCCGAAGAAGATCAAGACAAAGGTAATTCATCATGCTGAGTCAAGTCTTAATGTTTATTTTCAGTTTCAAAGCGATTTAAAACTATTATAACAAAAGTTTTGAAATATCGACTCTTCACGATATAGTAGCGCAATTTTACATTTCGAAAATCTAGTTATAATGATTTTAGATTGTTTTGAAACTGAAATCGAACATTACCACTAGATCCAGAGTGGAGAATTATCTTCGTCTTGACTTCTTTTTGGAGTGCTCCATGGTCATTAGGCTGGAATAGCGATCTCTAGAAGACCCTTATAAATCATGAACAGAGCAAGTTACAGACGTTGGATTTGTGTGGATCAAAAGAGAACGAATTTTTATATCGAATGATCACAACGGGAAAGCTTTCTCGAACTCACCTGATTGATCAATTGCGAAACCAATCAAATTATAATTTGACTTTACGATCTCCAAAATCCGCATGTCTCTATCTTGCTCCTATCGAAAGCTATTAACATAAAAACAGCTAGATGTTACACTCAACACTGTTTCTATTTTTGTCTTCTTTTAAATATCCGCGGCTAGCACATCCCTTTTTCTATGATTGTTTATCATAACGCAATACACATATCATTAATTCTTTTTCCATTTTACACGTGAGTAATAGAACATATGTAACAGAGGTTATTATTATTGCTCATGAGACCAGAAACAAGCAGCCACTGTTCAGAATACGAATGTGCTCATATTTGCAATATTTCATCCAGATTTTCTCTTCCTGAGAAATGATTTAAAACTCCGGGAGAGCGAACATCATATTTTTGAGAACACAGACACAGAGTGCACGGTACAATAACCGCCAACTCCAGGAAGGGCGCTGCTCCTTCGGCCTACATGCTGAATAAAAACTCTGCATATGTGAGAGGCTCATTTCTAGCAAAATTCACTTGTACGAACTATAGACTACCCGGGGTTCCGGAATTTCGCCAATAAGACTTTCGCCAATAGGACTTTCGCCGTTGCAGAAAGTCCACTGTACTTTCGCCAATACATCCCGTGGAATTTC